CAGATTTTGAAATGCTCGTTTTGGAAAAACAAGACTAACAGCTCCATTAAATGAAAGATTGTTGAACTCACATACAGTACTTCAGAAGGATTCAGGCTATCTCAAAAGGTCTCAAACACAAGTTTCTAACACATTACAATTGTTAATTGATAAAGTATTTGTAATCTGTGTCACATGTAACCTGCATCTACATAAACAACCTATTTTTGCCTCCCTCCGCCCTGCACCTGATCCCAATTTAACTCCTCCATCAGTCTAACAACTCTATGCATCTGATAAAGTGAGTTGTAGCTCACAAAAGTTTAGGCCTTTTCATAAAATTTGTTAGTTGAAAAAGACCAGATACCTCCTGATGTTTTGCCCCCATTGACTAATATGACTCTCCTCCTACAATGTTTAGAATGTTGAAATCCATGTTAATATATATACAAAATGACCACATGATTTGACTATGATATTTTATACAGGCTACATAAGTTATTGACTGATGTCAACTGGATTTTATGGACAGGCACCATATGCAAAAATATGAGCAAAAATGGCAGTTGTGGTTTTGCATACGGTGCACAGCATGCAATCAAACCTTTACGTAACCCCAACTGCCTGTATATGAAAGTTCTACAAGCCAACATGCAGCATTCATGTCATATGCAAGAGAAAATACAGGGACTATTTAAAGCATAACATCTGTTGTTACTCACTGAGCCCTTTGTGCAGCCAGCAATTCATTTTTTGCAAATTCGAAGTCCTTTGGACCATCCTCAGGAAATGAAGTCCCACGAGACAAACTCTTTACTTTCTGAACTTCAGCTGGATGATTAAACCGGAAATAATGATCTCCTCCAAGAATGATACGATCACCCTAGGAAATCCAGATGGTATTGAATAAGGTCATCTTATAGAAAATTTATGCAGAGTTTCTCAGTCTTGGCAACCTGAAGATGTGTGGACTTCAACTCCCAGAATTCCCCAGCCTGCATCCTGGCTGAGGAATTCTGAGAGTTGAAGTCCATGTATCTTATTTATTTATTTAAGCAATTTATATGGCTGCCCAACTCACTCACGGTGACCGCGGGCAGCTTACTCTTCAAGTTGCCAAGGTTGAGAAATACTGGTATAGAGGGACAGTCTATTCTAAACCAGCATATGGCATATGAATTTAAACTTATCTCGAAAACCACAAGTAAATAAATATATTTATGACTGTTTCTATCAACTTACATGATGTAGAAGTGTAGCTCCTGAAATGCATTCCCCATTAACATATGTCTTTGCTTCTCCAACAGGAACAATACTCACAATGCCACCCTTATGTCTGATAACACTACAAATAAGAAACATTAACATATCAAGAAATAAATGTCAGCCTTGTCTGAAAAGCAATATAGTAATCAGCTCCTTTGAACTTGCTCAAAATCAGTTGAATGTATGATTCCTTTGCTATATCATAGCCTGCTTTTGACATTATCTCCATTTCCAAAGATCACACTGTTGTCTAGTGCTACTGTTTAGGCAGGGCGTTGGAAGAAAACTTTTGTTTTCCCAAATTTGCAGAATGAGCTTCATGTTTAGGGGAGTCATAGCTATCATCTGACACATATGAAATGAATAGATTTTAGAAACAGTCATAACATGTCAAAAAGATACCATGATCTGAGGGCTAATGCTGGGAAGGGTCATGGTAAGGGACCTAGGACATTCATGAGAAACAGGCTGCAAGCAGTCTATTACAGTGAAAGGACAGGAAAAGGAATTCTGAATTTAAAAATTGGGGCACAAAGATAGACAGATAGGCAGGTATTCTTAGATTCTGTTGAAGCTCATCTTCACCATTACCAAAGCTACTTAGTATCTGCAATAAAACCAAACTTATCTAACCAGTCCAAGTCCTCGATTCTCCTGTGAGAGCCCTTGAGTGTGGTTTGAGTTCCTACAGAGAAAATTATTGTATAATGAATGTCTATTAGTATTCATTGATAGCTAGTCTAAGCCCATACACTGCATCCAAGACAACTATGTTATGAGAATTTAATTCTTTTTAATGGGATGTTCTGCTACCTAATTTCTCAGTATTCTTTTAGCCCTCTGCTTATGTTAAGAAGCACATCCTCTATCAAGGGCTCCTCCTGAATTCAAATCTTCAACATAGAGGAGACACAAGGCATTTCTCATTCCTTATTTCTTCAGTTAGTACATACCAGTGGTCATCAGCGATTAAGATGCCAGACAGCTGAATATCATGACATGAATTTGGTTTGCATTTCCCAACAGTAGTTTCTCCTTCCTTAATCATGTACAATAACATCTCAGACAGTTGAGGATCTTCATTAAGATTAACCAAATTAGGCAAGCTGTTATCCACCTTGAATGTAATGCCAGCTTTCTAAAATGAAGAATTAAGTATGTGAGCAATTCATATTTGGGACTTGAAAATGGTATGTTAATAAAAGTTGAGTTATTACATTATTTGTTACTTTTAAGAATAAGGCTAGTCTTCTGCAATGTTGTACCTTCTGGACATACTGAATTCTAGACCCACATTCCCATTTAATATAAATAATGGCTGAGAATTATGTGAACCAAAGTATCTGAAGTCTACCTGACCAGCAAAGGCTGTTACAGGTAAATAAGAATTTCTCCAAGGTTATTAACAGCAACTGATTGTAACCTGTATATAGTAAATAGTACCTGTAATTCCACTGTTTCTTCAAACTTCTTCTTTTCTACTTGTTCAAGTTTTTCTTTCCAGGCCCTTTAACAGAAGATAAAAATATTGCCTGGTACTAATAAATAATAAACTTAAAACATTTTACAAGTGCCATGGGAAGAAGATGAAAATGGACATGTAATCCAAAGAATAGAATTACAACTGAACAGTCTTTGTATCCATGTACATTATGGAAACAACATTTTAAAAAACTAAAGCAGCACAATTTCATAACAGAATTTTTTTTCACCATGCAGGAAAAACATAGGACCTTAAAATAGAATCAATAATTATGTACTATTTTTGAATTTAACTGTAATGTGAAAAAACTGAACTGTAGTGAATATGCAATAAGTAATAGTTTTACTATGAAATAGCCAGTGAACATAATGAGGCAAATGTTAAAATTGCCAAAGTAAATTAAACAAAATTTGGTTTTAATATCCATAACTATAGATAAAGCTATCAATAGAAATTAAAGAGAATTAATATAATAAAGTATAATGGTTAGGTTATGTCAATCATGGGTTGAAGCCATATGATTAACACAAAATTTAATCATAAGTCACTAAAGTCCTATTGAATTGCATGCCAAATTACAATAAGCAGTCTGAATCAAATCTGATGTATTTAAATCATTATAATTCACATCTAATGTGTACAGTATCAGTGTATACATACTTACTAATATTTTTCATTAACACTTCTTTTATTGGGTCATATACATTGTATTTTACTGATAAAAAAGTTGGGAGGAAATAATTTCCTTTACCAACTTAGAATATTAGTGATTCATTATCACATCCTTATAATTAATTATAAGATCATTATTACCTTTGCATCTCAGCCATCTCCCGCTCCTGATGGTGTAGCTTCATTCTTAACGATGTAATTTCTTGCACGTAAAGTCTTTGCTTTTCAGGGTCAACATTCTGAGTATTCTTCTGAGCCAATTTCAGTTTCTCAATCTCAGCTTTCAATTCTATATTGAACAAGAAGGCCCAGCAATTACTCAGAAGGCAATTCTGTTAGCAGTGTTTCGATGACATTTGTCAGAAAGATGTTAAAGTTCAACTCATTAAAAAATTGTTATGTCAGGTAAAAGGAATCATTAAGCTGCATTCAAAAGTAGATCTCAGGATACAGAAAGCATTTTATATTCACATAAGAGTTATAATAAATTTATTACTGCCCACATACTACAATACATTCTCTGTGCCTCTACCTCAAAAGCATGATACCCACCAGCCTTCTTCAGATGCAGCATTAAATTTTGGGTCTTCACATCCCAGATATGAGGCACACATATGAGGAACCTACAATCCTCTATTTCTATTGTGGACAGTCTGCAACCCAACATTATGTTGAAGTCAAATAAACCATAGTCAATAACCTTAAGTGTGGTTTACTAAAATAAGCCCATTTCGTTTAGAATAGCCAGTGTAGGAGAGTAGACAGGACCAGGACCAGGACCAGGACCAGGACCAGGACCAGGACCAGGACCAGGACCAGGACCAGGACCAGGACCGGACCAAGGAGGCAAGTGTTCAATCCTAACTTGACCATTGGGTGATTTTGGACCATCACTTTTTCTCAACTCAATTTATTTCAAATTTATTTCAAATTTATTTTCAAATTTTTATGGGGATAAAATGAGGGGAGGTCCCCATGTACACCAACTTGAGCACCACAAGGAAAACTGGGATATAAATGCAACACATTCAGTCAAACAAAACCAACATTTTAAGAAAATATAAAATTCAGATATAATTCAGATTAAAACATAAAACTTGGCTGGGTTCTAAGGTGGGATCTATATTCTAAGTTTTGGAACCATCAATGCATTCAACTTCTTATGCCATCAAACAAAGTCAATTTTGCATGTTCAATGAGTGTTAACTTTTGTTCAACAGTTAACTAAGCTTTTGTTCATGAACTGGCAAAGCCAATTTCAAACTGCTCCTGTAAAATATATACTCTCTAGTAAATACAGACACATCTTGGCACAGGACAAAAATGAGTGATTTAGGTAATAAGCAGAATTATTATTGCTTACCTTGAATTAATTTCATATTCATATCTTCATTCACTTTGGCAGTGTTGATTATGAAACAAGCTTGCTTAGCATATCGAAGAGTACTGAGTGTTTCTTCTACATTGCTGGCAGCAGGGCTGATTGTGGCGATCATAGCAGTTTTTGAATTTCCACCAAGACTTTCCTTCAACAGCCTTTATTTGAAAGAAAATAAAGTCACTAATGTGTCTATTGTCTGCAGTTTTAAAAGGAGACAACTTTTGAACAATAGTTAAAATCCAATCCAATCAAGGCAAATCAAACAGATTTCTTCACCCATGGGATCAGATCCTTGCACCTTTCCACCAATCAATTCTATATCATTTGCCTTTCTTTGCTCCTCAGGGTTTGATAATTTGTCAGGACCAGGAGAACTGCAAGTCCATAGATCTTTCTGGGGCATCCTATCTTCCACTTGAACTTCAGGAGGGACAGGTATCCAGAAGCCTTTTTAACATTATTTATTTCCCAGGAATATCTCTCCCTTTAGCACTATAAAAGCTGGTGGAGGGAAAGCAATGCATACAGTCAGAGGTGTTTCATTAGGTTTGTGATGCTGTATTTGGATTACAAATAAGCCCTAGATTTATTTGAGAAACAGCATCACTCAGGCCGAACAAAGCACACTCGACATATCACAGGCTTTCAACAATAGGCTGGGACACTAGTTAAAAAGCAGTGCTTAACTTGGCTTTCAAGAAGCTACTGAAATGAACTTCTGGGCAGTGACAGGATAGAGGGACTGCCTTCCAAGTTCATCTACCAAATATTAAGATATTATTCATTTTTATCCAGGTGTACACATAATCAATGCAGATTTTAAAAAATACATATGAGATACCAGCTGTACTTTTATGAATCTGGGACTCATTCAAATCATTTCTGAAAAACTTAGAAAGCTATGTTAATATAGAAATCCTTATAAATATATATTAGCTTTAGTCTTAAACTGATCCATTTTATTTTTTTAGTTTTAAGCCCACCTCAGATTCTAAACTCTAGGTAGGTTATACAAGATGCATGAGATGTGATAACCCTTGAAACAAACTTGTTGAAGCAAGGTTTTTTTTCTCTAAACTTATTCTCTCTTACAAGCATAGACTACCATTGTCTCAGACTGAATCCTTAAAATGAGAGAAATGATTAAAATATGAGAAATGACAATGTGATCCTACATGTGTTGTCTGAGACATAAGCCCCAAGTAAGAAAACATAGGATTACAGCTTCAGGATGAATAGATATGCATAGGATTGTTATTAAGCACAAACTCAACTCTTCTGACAAAAAGTAGGCCTCAAAATATGCTAAGTTTGATAGCATCATATATTTTGCTTTCTGGAAAGATGAGAGAGTTTAAATAACCCTGTAGAAGGATAGAAGAGTATTTTGCTAAGATGAATCAGAATGCCATCCGAAGCTAAGAAAAGATATAGTTCTAATATTTACTGTCATAACTAGCTATTCTCATAATAACTGAGCAAAGGTGAGAAGGTTCAGGACAAATAGCAAACAAAAACAAACGTTTCACTTACAGCTCATAAAAATAGGTACATACCATGTAAGAACAGATTCACGGTATGGAACAAATACCTTCTTCCTGCTCTGATTCTGCTCAGATAATGCAGAAATAACTTTCCCCAGAGTTAACAAGGATTTGTTTATGCTTACTCCTTCCTGTATAGATAATAAGAAACATCAGTGCATTTAAAACCTTGGTTTCCTACAGAAATAGATTTTCAGGATTGCGATACCATAGAACAAGTTTCTCTGACCCGGAGCTTTGCACTTTAGTGGGACTAGAATATCCAGATTCCCAACCAGCATTGCGAATGCCAGCTGCAAGTTGCAAGTTGCAACCCCATCATATGGTACTGAACACTATGGACAAATAGTTAAGATATTATATAGCTCCTTTTTACTCTCATTTATAATGGATATCCTCAAAAATCAAGTGCAATGTCCAGTTTTGGGCACCGTACCTAGACACGTTCAGACAAATCAAACCGTATTCAGAGAAATGCAATAAAAGGATGGTGTCAAGATACCTCCAGGGCCACATTTCCACTGATCCATTTGCCATGGTCCTGGTGAGAAGAGCCCCTTAGAATCCTGCATTATCACTCGATTTGGGGGGTGGGAGGAAACAAAGCCAGAAGTTTTCTGTAATAACTCTGATAATGGGGTATGGCTTTCCTTTGGATATCAGGGTCACAACCAATGTAGTGGCCTTCTGGAAACCATTATAAGCTTAACTATTCTGGAGGACTTTTGATGGTTGATGTTGTCTTGCTGAAATTGGCTGATTTCTGATTGTGTGTGTTTTTTCTTACACTATTATATGTGATTATAGTGATGTTGACTGAAAATTGTGTTTTGATGTTATAGGGTTGGTGTTCTTTGTTTTTACTGTGAGCATGTAAATTTTGCGAGATTGATATTGTTGTTTTAGACTGTTTGTTGTTGATACATTTCAGTTATATTGTGCATGTTACTATCTCATTTATAGCTAGACATAGATTGCTCCTTTTGGAGTTTACTCACGGGTTCTAGTCAGGTTGTTTTATAAATGTATTTTAATTTTGTCTCAAATTTTATTTACAGTTTTTTTAAGACAGATTTATAAGTGCTCACAGATCACTCATGAACAACTTCTTGTACAGGTCTAAGACTGCAATAAGCTGACTGACTGATGCATGTTTTAATCTTGTAAGCTGTATAGGGCTGGCAGTATATTAAATAAATAAATAGTCAGGTGACTAGAAACTAAGTCTTATAAATGATCATATGCATTATTTGTTTTGCAATTAAATCCATCAACCTCAAAAATATGCAGCAGCAAATCTGTTTGGCATAGACAGACAGGGCAAGCACTTCCATTAGAAGACTACCTAAGTATAAATTTTACCTTCAGTCTTTCTCCAGTGGTCTGACATGTAGAGCAGCGTTCACTTCCTGCAAGGTCTATTAGATTAACACGACTAATGATTCTATGTTCATGTTCTTTCTTTTCCACGATATCTGTCTAAAACAAATAAATAATTATGATTAAACACAGCCTGCACACTACAAATTCCCCATAGTAATGCAGTAAGCCATCTTATACTTTTATAACAATCACAGAATGATTTCCTCCTTCATACATTATGGTTCTCTTATTTTTAAAAATGTAATAGCAGTAAAATATATAGAAAATAAATGCTGCTTTCACACTAAAAATGAAAGTATAGAAAGAAAAATATGTTGCTAGAATCAGAGCCCTGTTTTGCTGATAGGTACCTATTAATAGGGCATATTATGACAAAATAGGAATGAATTATCTTAAGCTGATAATAAAGATTTGATTTGATTTGAATTACCAAATCTGCTGTAGGTTAAAGAGGGCATCAGTGTTTAAGACAAGTGAGAATTCTGAAAATTCAACAACCAGTTTCCATCTTCTGCCATAATCCTTTTTGCATCACAAGGGCAATCTTTCTTTGTAGCCAAAAGCATTTTGATTGGGAAGGGTGGAGAGTTTGGCTCCTTAGAGAAGGGATATTTTGTGCCCATTTTTGCCATCACTCAAAATCATTTCCTGTCCAATGTGAGCAATGAGAGTGCTTTCACACTATTTTGGAAGCAAGAGGGCAAATATTCCTGGAGGGAATACAGAGTGGCAAGGCTTTCATCCATGGCTGTACCTACCATTTTGGCCCTCTTGGCTCCTCCATTGCGGACAGCTCTGGTACTCAGGTAGATCCAGAGAAGTCCAAATAAAAATGTAACTGTTCGTTAGGTTCCCCATGCTTTTTATTACTGCAGCCACCTACACACTCAGAAAATTCACTCTTGATATCAAGGAATCCATCTGAGTGAAGTGAGATGGGGCGCAAGTGAGCAAGAACTGGAGAAATTTGAGGGAACCAGCCAAGCATGTAAAAGTTCCAATCCACTTCCACCAGGCACCTTCCACCTCAACATTATTTTATGAGGTAAGAGACACTGAGGCCAGAAGACACTGCTTTTTCATCAGTCTCTCTTACCTCATAAAATAATATTGAGGTAAAACAACATTATTCATTATTATGAAACAGCCTCCCTCTAGCAATTAGAATGGCCCCTGATTGATGGCCTTCCAGAAACTTCTAAAAAATTAGTTTTTCCAGAGCGCCTTTGGAATCTTTATGATCAGTTCTAAGGCTGGTTGTTGTACTTGTTGTCATTAGTTGATGTTCTTTATATTTAATCTTAGTCCCATTTTTTTCACTGTGCTCCATGACTTTTATTTCTAGTGCTTGCAGATTCTTTCCATTTTCAGCTATCAGAATACTATATTAATGAGCCATGGTACAAAGTGAATCTCCTTCCAGGAAAGGAAGTTTGATTAAAATTTTGAATGTTTCGAAAATCTTATCATAAAGCCACCATCAGCACTTGTACACAACCGATACACAACTTTTTTAAGGCGGTCCCCATAATACCTTTGTTTGTGTCATCACCAGCGTGAAAACAGAGTGAGATCGAGAACTCTTGTCATTCATGCCAGTGGCAGCAGTGGCTCTATGTTTATTACCTAGCTGGAGCCAATTCTGTCGAAAAGAGAGGAGGTGGAAATGTTTAAAAAGCACTTTGAATCTCGTTACATCTCATTAGTTCAAAGTAAGCATGAGAACAGCTAACATGAATAAAAACAGCTATAACTATACATATGGAACTCAGCTGTCATAGGTCTGAAACTACCATTTTTTAATCTAATAAAACACTCAAATGGTAAAAGCTTTCCTTTGAAAAACAGGGTATCTAAATCATCTCTGTCCAGCATAAGTGCAAAGAGCATCCTGTTGGCCCCTGTCTTAGATCACTTGGGTGAAGCCTGTCTCTAGAACTAGCAGTTCACATTGCTTTTGCCTCTTCAGTTGAGTTCTGCTGTCTTTCCAGGCATTCACCTGCCCTACACATTAGAGCAAGGCTTTTCTCACTCTTCTAGCTGCTCACCCTTCCCCAGGGGCAAGTTCCTTGGTTCCAAGTTTCTCTAGCTGTAACATAATAATAATGGCCATAAAACCCTATTTTATATATGCAGGAGAAACTAGCAGAATTGCTTGCCCAAATAGCCTTTGATCTGCAGCCCTAATACCAGCTTGTCAGTACTGCATTGATTACAGAATTGGTGTTTGTATTTTATGCTTGTCATCTGTTTTGATTTGTCATCTGTTACTTCTTCCTTAAGGAAAGTTCCCTCTTCAAACAATATAAGTAAACACCTATATAAAAGCAGAGCCTTTCTCAGTTTCTTTCTGAGCTTGTAAGGAAAATAAATTAAAAATACTGATACTGCAAGCAACTTTCTACTAAGATGCTAATACATCTTACTCATTACCAGTTCAAATATTTTAATATTAACTCATGCAAAAGTCAGTAAAATGTAAAACTCTCTCTCCCCATTATTCTATAATCTTTTGTTTCCTATTATTAATGGTAATATCTTTATATATAATATCTTTATATATTCCTTTGAAAAATTCATAATTTATATTTCAGTAACCAAATTTTACCTGGATATCTGAGTAAGAACTAACAGCATTCCTAAA